CTCAGCATAAAAAATAAGTTCCAGATCTTCAACTCCAATGTGAAGTCAGTCAGTGCTACTTACTATACGGATCAGAGACTTGGTGCCGCGCCGAGTCACGATGGGTACTTTGAACAAACTACAGACCCACATCAACAGCTATCTTCGCTCAATACTACTCAAGATCAGATGGCCGGCCAGAAAAGATCAGCAACAGGCAGGGATCTCTGGGAGATAACCAACCCAAACAGTAACCAGTTATCCAACAAATATGCAGGAAGAAATGGAGGTGGATTGGCTTTCCATACTCTGAGAAAACAAACCATCATCAAGTGATATCACATGCCAGACCATTGCTTGATTGGAAGTCAAATGAGAAGCGGTGATGTGGCCGTCAGTTTGAGGGTGACATGGAGGAGGATGTCATGTGAAGAGGAGATGAAAGCATGTGGGTGGACGTGGAGCCAGTTGAAAACGTTAGCAGAAAACCGAACGCAATGGAGATGTGGGGCTGAAGCCCTATGTTCCTCTAGGAATTAAAGGGAAGAATGACATAATGACAATATCTGTTCTGCTGCACTCAGAATAAAGAATAAAATTTTGGATTTTTTAAACATTAATGTTGAGTCAGTCAGGTCTCCTGTATGGGTCAGAAAATTCGTGTTCGCGTCACGAAAAACATTTCCAACAGCCTGATCCATACTGAATATCCTCCGATAGCTGGTCAGACAAAATCAGCAACAAGAAACTCTGGTGAAGAATGAATCAACCGAGAACCTACTGCTCAACAAATATGCCGTAGGAAAATGGAGAAGAATCGGAGAGACGCTGAGGAGTCCGTCGAACAACACCGCGCTTCAGGCTATCGCTCGAGAGGACGCCGAATGGAAAAGTGATGAGTTAGGCGTGTGGAGATCGTCTAGGGAGGAGCAGATGAAAGCCTATCGGGAATCATGAAGTCAGCAAATAAGGACCTCAGAGTATAGGACAAAATGGAGATATGCTGGTCAAGCCCTATGTCCCACTAGGCGGAGCCCACGGAAATAATATTAAAAATTTTTATTCTCCTTTCGCATTTCTTGTTTTCAAACGGGGGCTTGAAGGGTTGTTTTTTACGCGTTGGGATTACTAGCCCCACTATTATCTAGGTGATGATTAGGGGTGCATCAAATGAATTAAATCCATGCATGCCAAGAATTCCTATCAATGAACCACTCTAATCATGTAATCACTGAACATAAACAAATGATAAAAGAAACGCAAGTTTAATGTTCAATTACTAATTAAAATCCCCCCTTCTGATTACTGGTCAATGTTTCAATGTTATTTAGCAGATTACTACGGTAATGCATCAGCCGACATTGACACTTGAAAAATATAAAGCATTTTTTCCGTATCAAAAGCGATTCAGTAGCATTTTAATAATTTATCCATATATAAAATAAAGATTGTAAAATTCACTTTAAAACCTGAGGTTTTTCCCTAAGTTTTACACCGCAGTAAAACAAAAGATACATCGTTTTTACACTAGAAGTAAGTCAGTTGCATAAAAAATTGAGACAATTAAAGACCTTTGTACCTGGCTGGATTTCTCAAGCGTAGCTTTCATTACATACTTATATTAAGTTCCAGAATGATTTGTAAAGGCAGATATTAGGACGGACCACCTATCTCTGTTAGCCATGAAGTTATGTCTGATGCATGCCCACAATCTAATTACCTGATTGGACAATTTTTGACTGATTGATTTTTGCGGGGGCATCTTCAAGGTCACACAGTCAACCAGCTGTTGATTGTTTATAAATTTTTACGTACTATAAATGCTATAAATGCTGTATCCCATTCACCACTAAAAGATTCTAATTCAGTTTACAGTGACGAAGTTTTTGTCCGTCTAACGAGGAGGAATTTATCAGACTGATCGGGAGACAAAAAGTGTGGTAACTGCGAAACAAAATCAAATGAGTATCAAAGTGATTATAGCGATGAGTATAACTGTAATATATCTAAAGGTGTAAAGCTTTTGAGGGATTTCCATCACCTCCTAGGAAGGAGCGTATCAAGGCTAGGTCACATTGATCGTTCATCAGACAAGTCATTGAATGGCTATAGGTGTACGAAAGCACAGGATTCTCGATCTCTAGTTTAGCAAAGTTTGTCCAAACCTTGTGTGGTCAAGTCTACCCGTTTTTTTTAACAAAAGTTAAATCAACTGCAGAGGTAGATGAAGCTGTAGGCGACTGCACTGATGCATCTAATGCTGATGGCAATCTAACAATAGTTGGAGAGAAGTCGACCCATCACGCGAATGTCTCTTACTTGGCCTGGTAAACTAAGTTTAAGCAAAACAACGTATGGCCCTCATCCAACATAATCGATCAAGGCGAAATGCAAAGTTACCTAAAATGAGATTAACAATTACTAGGCACTTAACTATATTCATGGTTTCACTCTTCCCTCAATGGGCGCTAAATGCGTCGGTGGCACAGTGGTTAGGACTCTCGCCGACCATGCACATGGTCCGGGGTTCGAGCCCACGCCGGCGCACACCTGATATCTATGGTCGGCCTGCAAAATTTGGACTACCGATATCCATGCTGAAAATTCCATATTTGTACTAAAAATACAGTGTAGAATCAAGCTGTAAATCAAAAAAGAGTAATACTTTTAAGAAGGTTACCAACGATGGTTTTGGAGAAATAGGTTGAATGTATCCGTAGCTAACTCACAACCTGTAGTGCTGTCGTAGAGAGTGGCAAAAGTATTTACTTATTTTAGTCAAAATTAGGATACGAGAGATGATGTGATGGTATAGGAATCAGGAAGAAGTGAGCGAAGTTTTAAGGGTGCGAAAACTTAAGGAATAAGTGTTGATTGAAAATTATGTAGGTTTCTGTTTGCCTCCGAGGAGATGTTGGCAGTTGACAGTAGGCAGGCTGAGTAGATTGTGATAGATGTTATATGTACGTGAATTTAATGTTGAGGTGAGCAAGCAGCTTACACAACCAATCACGAAAACAGGATATATGGACGTAATGACTAATAAGATGAATAACAAGGTGGTCTACTGGAGGTGTGATTATTTCTTTAATAAGAAGTCGTACAGAATAAATTGCAATGTCTTCAATTTTGTCAAAGTATTTACCTATGACTTACAGTTCTGTGAAATGTTTGAGCAGGTTATACTTAGTAGTGAGCAGTTGAAAATGGATAGCAACTTGTAGGTGACGTACATGACCGTTATGTAATAGGGAATGAATATAGTGAAATGATTACTAGAAATTGCAAGTGTGTAAGGACTGGAAAAGAATTCACATGAGTTCGTTTAAAATGGTGCTTTGTTCAGCAGACAGTCGTGCGTCGGTGGCACAGGGGTTAGGAAGTTCGCCAACTATCCACATGATCCAGGGTACGATCCCCGACGGACACACTCCTTTACCTTTTTAAGTCAGTAATGGAACTGGCGAAGAGGGAAGGTTGGATATGAGGCCAGCAACCCCATTCTGTGAAAATAAACATTGCTACAGTAACTTTACGCCTCTAGTTTGAAGCCCTATGTTCCACTGGGAATGTGAAGGAATAGAAAAATGTGTATGGTTTACGTAAATGAGGAAACGATATATGTACCATGTATTTTATATTATTATAAAGGTTGTTATTACTGAGGGTGTTTCATTTAAATCTAACTTTTATGTCTACCTCAACGTGGAGAATATTTCCAGGTGACCAGTTGGCTAGAGTGTCGTGTCTGCAGGCACATTTTAGTCAAGACTGAACACAACAGAGGAAGTAGTTAAAAGTTATTCATTTTTGATTTAAAAAGTTTTGAATAGTACACATGCCTCACGAGGTTATGACTACTAAGTATCATAGTGAGCAGGTCAATGTTCAGTCTTTAAGGTGAGAAACAACCAACCATTCATCTACATATATTCCATCTTCAGTTACTAGTTACATAATAAAATCTAATCAGTATCAAATGTTATCAAAGATCCCAATCGACAGTTGTCCCTTGTTGAGAAATTCTGGCTCGCTGACTGGAACCAATGTTTCTGCACTTTCTACAATGTCAAAAAGGTGTTTTGATAACAGTTAAACTAAAATAAATTACTATCAGTTTGACTACGAAGTTCTCATGCTGTTCAAAAAGACCTGTGTCACCAGCATGCTGTTTTCTTCAGACATCTGGCGAGCCTGAGGTGATACCTAAAACTTCAGTCACAAAAAGTTATACGTCCCGAGTGTTACCCTTCGACAATCAGCAGTAAAATCTTCAAAAGGGAAACACAACTCTAATAATCACTTGAAAGAGACTGTGTTTAACCGACCGCAAGCAGTTGTCCTCTGGAATTTGCAGTCGCTTGATTTAGCTTACCCCAGAAGTTAGTGTTTCATGTCTTGGACGTCATCTGGATGCATCTGCATTCCCCAGTAAGTCAGTGTTGCTGTTCCCACTGAAGGCTCGGACCCAGTGCTGATCGTTTCAATAGTCAAAGTGTTATTTACTGGACGACTTGGGCCGAGAAAATCACCTCTTGTATGATGCGTATCACTCATTACTTAATTCGATTTGGATCATTTTGCTGGTGGGTACGATGGGTAGTGGATTCGAGCCCAAGTGGGAACACTATCACGGACTCACTGGGAAATTCAGGTACATCCACTGACTGAGGAGTCCCACCCAAATAGGACGAAATGCATGTTATCCTGACTGGATTCCATTGCTAGTCACCATCTAAAAAATTACTACCAGTTAATCAAATCACACTTTGTCGAAGCCTCCGTACAAGAAGATGACTTGTCAATAGAGGTCAAATATTTCGGTCCAATTAGTCAACGGGAAAATCAATACTATTTTAAAAGTCTCTATGACCACATATCAATGCAAAAATATTAAATAACTTAAACTAACTATAACATATATAGTAAACAACAAAGTGAACCCATATTCAAATTAAACATTGACACATTGAATAAACGCTACATAACAACAACAAAAAAGAAAAAGAAAAACAACTTACAATAACAGTTCCTTGAACTTCTTTATACTTTTTATGTTTAACTGAAGATCTCTTATCATGAACATTCTCTTTATTTTTATTAAACCAATTTGAAAATGTTGAACAACCATGTGTATGATGATGTGTATTTGTTGAAGAAATACTTGCTGTTGATGGTTCTTGAACAGACGATAGAGATATTTTCGATTTCGACATATCTGTTGTTGATGTTGCGGTTGCTGTATGGTGTGATTTACGCTTTAAATGTGATAGAAAACGACCAAATTTGCTGGATTTTTTACGTTTAACTACTGTGCTATCATCTGTTTTTGTTATTATTTCAGTTTTATCCATATTTTTTGGCTGTGTTTGTTTTGTAGGAATTAAAGTTTGATGAATATAAATCCAGAAGAAAGTTTTTGAGAAATTAGAGTCAAGTCGAGTAGAGTTATTTTCCCGGTGTAATGTCAACTCTTATTTACCGGTGGATATGTTCACAATATGTTTTGTGTGTGTAAAGCGCCTTATTGTTAAGTGTGAAGACAAATAAGAATGCGCCTGTGTGCGTGTTCGTGAGTGTGTGTGTGAGTGAGTTATGTGTCAAGGTATACTTTAACGACTCATATACACACACCAGTCATATGTCGACAGAACATACCTACATGTATGCACAAACACGTACACACCTAGATTAATAACCATAATCTTACACACGCCCTACAATCAATAATTGAATAACAGTTTAATAACAAAATTAATACGGAATTATTCTTTTGTTCCGCTTTTTGTAAAACAGAAAAGAAATTTCTTTTCTGTAGCACTCATTCAAACAAACAGATGATCATGTCCTAAACTGACAGCATGTATTATTTCTTTTGTGCTTGTTGTTGCATTGTGGAAGTCCCACTCACAGTGGACCAATCATATTACGACTTTTAAAAGCTGCATTTTGATTGGTTCATTCTAAAGGTATCATGTGATATAAAAATCTTATTATTAGTCTAACAGAACAAATTAGGTTGTCTCTCATTAGTAGGTAGTCTTCTTTGTGTTTATTTACTGTGATGAATTAGTCATTGATAAATTTATCATCATCAAAATAAATTACCTCAGTGTGCTAGCATAATAGTTTCACATCAATAATGTGAGATATTTTTGAGGTGTTTGTCTCTAATGTATCATACAGAGATTGATTAATTCTACACTCTTACATTAATATTAACTCACAAATCATAGTTACAATTTAATTTCATGCGCCGAAATCCTGTTAGAGAGACCAATTGTTTCGTCCAGTTTTTGGAGCTCTTCAGTAGCTCGCATTCATTACCTTATCAGCAATCGTAGCCGGGACCATCACGATTACCAATCAGCCACTTAGACCAGAATCCAATGATCCCTGAATTTTAATGTTATCAACTCGTGATGTAGTGCTGTCCGCTAAGCAATGCCTTCGATGAGTCTCTACTTCATCCGGACATGGTAAACCATAGTGGTCGCAACTTCTTACTACAGCTTCAGGACATCGATCCATCAGCCATCAATCTCCAGCTCATTAATGGCTACCAGGGGGGGGGCGAATGTCTCTAAGCTGTAATGAGAAGTTGTGTGTTCCAATAGCTTTTAACAGAGTTTTACGGTTTTAACTAAGTCAGTGGCGGATGAAGTGATGTCATGTGATGAAGGACAGTTGTTATTGGGTCAAAGTTTGTTCGTGTACCACGACTCCCTGGGTTAGGGGAGATTTGAACTGACTGTTCGAGACATTATCAGATATGGCTGGAAAACAGGCTGCAATTTCCACATTTTAAATTTTCTTATCAAACATATTCTGAAGTACATAACAAACTCAAAACACATACAATGGTTAACCGTATCCTTAAGACAGACAACGAGCGCGAATTTCAAGAAATCAGCCACTTCTGAAGGCATGTTATACTTTACGAACTGATGAGATCCAGGGATAGCGGCTGTCACCCAATGATAGTTACTTACCTTTAATTTGAAGGCAGAATTTGAATTCGCATATCCATAGATTCAATTGAAGTGTCAGTTACTAACAGGATCCCTAAGAATTATATTTGGTGAGACCCACATTAACCAAAGACTCATAATCATACTGGATATTAGAGAGAATAGATCGAAAGGAATACTTGCTGAATCTATTTATTTTTATATTACAACTATTGCCTTGGGTTCCGATTGTAACATAGGACTTCAAAAGCACATCTCCACTTCGTCCCATCCTTCACAGTCCTCTTCAGTTGGCCCACGATTTCCTCCTTGTCATTGCCAGACTCACACCAACTTCATCGTTTCCCACTCAGGCTGCACTTGAAGTTATGCCTGAAGATCAGTGTCACTCAACTGTCTCCTCAGTGGCGTGTGTCCTATACACCTTTATTTTCTGAAACATATTTCCTCAGTAATAAGTTCTTGGTTAGCTTACTTCCTCAGTCCCTTGCTCCTAGTTCTTTCTGACCATTTGGTCTTCATTTTGGAGTCAGTGGAAGCAGCTGTTGACAAAAGTCTGCAGTAGACTGTCGTGAATACTTCTCATTATGCAGGAGCCTAGTTTCTGACTCATACAAATCAACTGACTGCTTTAACATTGATTTTGAAAATCTGAATTTTTCCTTTATACTGTCAGGTGTATCATATTTCCAAATTGGTTTCATAGTGATGAAGGTGTACTTTGTATTTCCAATTCTAGATTTGACTTCTTCATCTGTGTTGTCGCCTTTAATTGTAACGATGGCATCTAGACAGATAAATGAAGCAAATGAGCTCTTTCGAATTTCTCTGGTGAATTTTACTCAATCTTACACAAGTTAACTCATATTTACTAGGAAATTCGTATTTTCATTCTCTAGTTCATTTCTGATCCTAAAGCCTTATCAATAAGCTATTCATGTTGTGATCAAATATCTAGATGACTAAATTATGTACACCAGTCGGTTGTTGGATGGTGTTCAAAAAGTCATAGTGTCAGTCCACCTATGTAATGCCCTTTAATTCGATGACAGATTTCATTGAACATTTAGGAACGGTTTATACAATTCTTTCCATTAGTATGTGATAAGAGCCGTCTACAAGCCAATATTGTAGACAACAATTTGCTTCGTTGTTCATTTCCCGAATCGGGGTCGTGAGAAAAATACAATAACAAAGCTTAACCGTGAGGAGCTAAACAACCAATCACAGCAGAATTAACGTCTACAAATACGATTCGCAGAGATATAAAGCTTAACTTTCTGAGAAACAGTCACAAACAGTACAGAATAACCTTGAGCAAGAAAGCAACCAATCAGAAGAGGTTGCTTCTCTGCTGACAATAATGTACATAAAAATCTATAAATATCTATTGATTTTCTCAATAAACGACTTGTTGCCTGGCTCTTGTCTTCTGTCGTTACAGGTATGCCTGAGCACAACAAGAACGACAAATGTACGTGGATAATTCCATACAACTATTCCCTTTTACAAACTTGAGGAGACAAACAACCAACATTGGTTGAAAATAACATGAACCCTGTCTATTTCGTTGGTTCTCATCAGCTGCATAATATCTATAATCTTTAATAAATAAAAGTCAGAGTAAAATGTTAACATACTTTTGTCATCAACAAGCATATTATAAGCCTGTCATGGTGAGGTAAAACATCAGGACGACAAGGTAGCTGAAGTTTATATATATATATATATATATATATACCTTGTTAGAGAGGAGTTCTTAGAAAATTAATTGACAAATTTGTTGTCAGGGCGGCAACGAAAAAATTAGTAACAATTACATAGTTAGATAATAGATGATCAAAATTTATTGTGAAAGAGGTCAGATGAAAAGTCTGTGATGTAATATAGTGAGTAGAACTCATAAGGTCAATAAAAATTATCTATGATAGAAATCAGAAAGAGAAAACGAGGTGACCGGGGAGAGGGCAGGTGTTGAAAAGATATGTTAATGAAGTTAGAATACTAAGAGTTATTAATGGATGAGTCACCAGAGTAATTGGAGTCCAAAGACAGATTCCTTTTGGACACATAAATCACGTTTCATACATTTATTCCCCTTAATGAATTTGAACAAAGCAAGAAGTACTGTTTTAGCAGAATAAAATGGTACCATCTTTTATTTCGTTGCCTTCTCGTCAGCTGCTTACATGGCAAAGACGTTATTAAATAAATCTACATTGGAAGGACAGAAAGAAGAGCATATCTACGATTTTCTGAACATGTACCAAAAAGCTTATGTCTAAAGAGAACAAATGATTTAAACAGTGCCGTCGGCAGGCATCTCCTTGACACGGGTCATGAGGTGGACGTCGAAAAGTGGTTCAAAATTATTAATGGACAAAAGAGCTCAATTCTCATGAAGCCTGCTGAATCCATTTCCATCAAGCGCCTGATACCTGATTTATGCGTCCAGAAAGAAGCGGTTATCAGTCTTTCTTTGCCCTGGTAACTGGATAATTTCACCTCTCTTTCCTCCGAATGTGAAATGCTAAAAGTTTCCATTGTGTTTGATTATTATTGTTCGGAATAGTGGCTAATATTGCATATTTATATATGTATATATTTTTAGTGTATGCGTATACTGATCGATTGATTTTTGTGTAAAATGACCTCTGTGCAAGTATGTTAAAATTGTTTTTGTAGATATGTTTAATAATGTCTTTGCCGTGTAAGCAGCTGACGAGAAGGCAACGAAATAAAAGATGGTACCGCTTTATTCTGCTAAAACTGTAGTTCTTGCTTTGTTCAAACACTTTTCAGCCGTTTTATTGAGAACCGAAGAAGACTTGAGTTGTTCTGTCTGTAAATTATTTTGAATAATGCCAGCGCGTTTATTCTGTGTAGTGTCTATCAGGTGTTTGGTAATTGAAGAGCTTGATCTCCTTGGCCTTTTTAACTAGAAACTGCTTGGTACACGTTCGAAGAATCTTACGTAGGCCCTTCTTTCTGTTCCCTAATGTAAATGTTCCTACAGATATATGTGAATCGGTATATACGCTTTGAGGTAACATAAGAAGAGTACTTATCGACCTTTGACTGTACCAACGAGGAGGATGTTCAGAGCAAACAGACTAGTTTTACTGCAGAATACTTCCTGGAGACAGCTGCGCAATCAGCAAGAAGCCTCGGACCTAGGTTTCATGCTGGTTGGGACTCACTAGTCAGCAAGATATACCTGCAACTTTGAAGGAACTCATGTCCCTTCTGAGATATTGGGGTCTATCATTATTATTACTATAGCGCCACTATCAATGCCTTGCACGAATCAAGGTACAAATTTCATATGGATCTGCATTTTTTCTAATAAGTAAACGACAGTTTTATATGAGAAAAAAACCCGCTGATTATTCTTATTGGCCGCCTCAAGGTCAGTTGTGCGTTCGTTTCGCTTGGGTTGTTATTCTTTAAATTTGAGGACCAGAATAACATTCTTGCCGCAAGTAATTCTGATTCATTTTATTATTTGAATTTTTATTTTATCATTATGATTATTTATAATTAATATTTATTTCCATTACTATTACAACTAATTATAATATTAATAACATTGGATCTCTGACGCAGATTTTATTCAAACATTTCAGCATTTTTTCCGACTAGCTTTTGTTCATTCACATAGATGAGGTCATTCTACACTTATTAAGTAATACCAACTTCCGTTTAATGATCGCTTCTTGTGTATTATTCCCCTGTCGACTATCCCTCATACTGCGTAAAAATATTTCTAGAATATAATTACCAGTATCCGATTGCTATTAATGACTTCATAAAAAAAATTCACCGATTGGGAGGTAAGTATGACGTAAGATGGAGGTTGTAGAATAGTCAATTCAT